GGGGTTTCACCATGTTGACCAGGATGGTCTCGATCTCTTGACCTCGTGATCCACCCGCCTCGGCCTCCCAAAGTGCTGGGATTACAGGCTTGAGCCACCGCGCCCGGCCCGTAATTACGTTTTAATAGAGTCAAAAGGGTGGGGCCCTAATCCAATAGAGGAAGAGACACTGGGGATGTATAAGCACAGCAAAGGCCATGTAAAGACACAGCAAGAAGGCAGCTTCTGCAAGCCGATGAGCGGGGCCTCAGAGGAAACAAAGCCTCCCAATGCCCTGAATTTAAATTTCCAGCCTCCAGGATTGTGAGAATATAAATTTATATTGTTTAAGCCACCTAGTCTGTGGTATTTCATTACAGCAGCCTGAGCAAACTAATACAGCCACCGATATAGACATACTTTTTATTTTTTGAGCTGGGATCTCACTGTCTTCAAGTAATACTCCCATCTCAGCCTCCCAAGTACCTGGGATTTCAGGTACATGCCTCTGTCCCTGGCTTTGTACATACACTTTTAAACATTTTAGTATAGAGTCATGCACTACCAATCAATGTTTCAGTCAATGATTGATTGGATATACAGCATATACAGCAATGGTCCCACAAGATTACAATGAAGCTGAAAATTCCTATCGCCTAGTGACACTGTAGCTGCCGTAACATCGTAGTTCAATGCATTAATCATGTTTGTGGCGATGGTGGTATAAAACCCCACTGTACTTCAGCTGTGTAAAAGTACAGCATATTCAATTATATATACTACATAATACTTGATAATGATAATAAATGACTATGTTACTGATTTATGTATTCACTTTTTATCATTAGAGTACTCCTTCTACTTATTTCTTAAAAAAAAAAAAAAATTGGCTGGGCATGGTGGCTCACACCTGTAATCCCAGCACTTTGGGAGGCCAAGCCAGGTGGATCACGAGGTCGGGAGTTCGAGACCAGCCTGACCAATATGGTGAAACCCTGTCTCTACTAATAATTTAACAATTAGTCGGGCACAGTGGCACATGCCTGTAGTCCTAGCCACTTGGGAGGCTGAGGCAGAAGAACTGCTTGAACCCACGAGGTGGAAGCTGCAATGAGCCAAGATCGTGCCACTGCACTCCAGCCTGGGTGACAGAGCAAGGCTGCGTCTCAAA